AATCCCACCAACAGTGCATGAGTGTTCCTATCTCTCCGCATCCACGCCAACATTTATTGTTTTGGGACTTTTTGATAAAGGCCAGTCTCACTGGAGTTAAGTGATATCTCATTGTGGTTTTAATTTGCATTTCCCTGATGATTAGAGATGTTGAGCATTTTTTCATGTGTTTCTTGGCCATTAGTCTATCTTCTTTTGAAAATTTCTCTTCAAGTTTCTCTTCCCCCTTTTTAATGGGGTTGATTGATTTTTTTTCTTGCTGATTTGCTTGAGTTCTTTGTAGATTCTGGTTATCAGCCCTTTATCAAGTGTGTAGCATGCAGATATTTTTCTCCCTTTCTGTAGGTTGTCTGTTTGCTCTAATCACTGTGTCCTCGGCTGTGAAGAAGGTTTTTAATTTGATCAGGTTCCATTTATTTATTTACTTTTGTTGTTGCTGTGATTGCTTTTGGGGTCTTCTTCATAAATTCTTTGCCTAGGCCAATATCTGTAAGAGTTTTTCCAATATTTTCTTCTAGAATTCTTACAGTTTCATACCTTAGCTTTAGGTCTGTTATCCATCATGAAATAATTTTTGTGAAAGGTGAGAGGTACGGATCCTGTTTCAACCTTCTATGTGTCGCTATCCAATTTTCCCAGCACCATTTATTGAATAGGGATTATTTTACCCAGTGTATGTTTTTGGCTGCTTTTTCAACGATCAGATAACAATATGAGGATGGATTTATATCTGTGTTCTCTATTACGATCCATAGATCTATTAGTATGTCTCTGTTTTTGTGCCAGTACCATGCTGTTTTGGTTACTATAGCCTCGTAGTATAGCTTAAAGTCTGGTAAAGTGATGCCTCCTGATTTGTTCTTATTACGTAAGATTGCATTAGCTATTTGCAGTCTTTTCTGGTACCATATAAAGCGTAGAACTATGAAGGTCTTCAGAAAATAACAATGGTATTTTAATGGTATTACATTGAATCTTACATTTTAATGGGGATTACATTGAATCTAAATCACTTTGGGTAGTATAGACATTTTAACAATGTTGATTCTGCTGATCCATGAGCATGATATGTTTTTCCATCTGTGTACATCCTCTGCAGTTTCTTTCCTCAATGTTTCATAGTTCTCCCTGTAGAGGCTTTCACCTCTTTAGTTAAATATATTCCTAGGTATTTTATTTTCTTTGTTGCTGTTGTGAAAGGTATTGAGTCTTTGATTTGATTCTCAGCTTGACTGTTATTGGTGGCATATGTGTAAGCTACGGCTTTGTGTGCATTGATTTTGAGACTTGCTGAATTCATTTATCAATTCCAGGAGTCTCTTGGTTGAATTTTTGGGGTTTTCTAGATAGAAGATCATATCATCAGCAAAGAGCAACAGTTTGACCTCATCTTTCCCCATTTGGATGCCCTTGACTTCCTTCTCTTGTCTGATTGTTCTGACTAGGACTTCCAGCAGTATGTTGAATAGAAGTGGTGATAGAGGGCAACTTGTCTGGTTCCAGTTTTAAGCGGGAATGCTTTCAATTTTTTCCTGTTCAGTATTATGTTGGCTGTGGGTTTGTCATATATGACTCTAATAATTTTAAAGTATATCCCATCTATGCCTATTTTGTTAAGAGTTCTTATCATAAAAGGGTCCTGAATTTTTCAAATGCTTTTTATGCATCCATTGAGAGGGTTATATGGTCTTTGTTTTTGCTTCTATTTATGTGGTGGATCATATTTATAGATTTGCATATGTTGAACTATCCTTGCATCTCTGGGATGAAGCCCACTTGGTCATGGTGAATTATTTTTTTTATGTGCAGTTGAATTTGGTTTGCTAAAATCTTACTGAGAACTTTTGCATCTGTATTCATAAGGGATATTGGTATGTAGTTTTCTTTTTTTTTATTGTGTCCTTTCCTGGCTTTGCTATCAGGTGATATTGGCTTCATAAAATGAGTCAGGGAGGAGTCCTTCCTTTGCGATGTTATGGAAGAATTTCTTCAGTATAGATACCAGTTCTTCTTTGTAGGTTTGGTAAAATTCAGGTGTGAAACTGCCTGGTCTGGGACTTTTTTTGTTCAAAGATTTTTTATTGCTGCTTTAATTTTGGTGCTTGATATTGGTCTATTGAGGATTCCTATTTTTCCCTGATTGTGCCTAGGGAGGCTATGAGTTTCTAAGAATTTGTCCATTTCCTTCATTTTTTCAAGTTTATGAGCATAGAGATTTTTATATTATTCAGTGGTGATGTTTTGTATTTCCATGATATCAGTTGTTATTTCTCCTTTTTCATTTCTAATTGAGCTTATTAAAGTCCTTTCTTTTCTGCTTCTGGTTAATCTATAATAGCAAGAGGCCTGTCTATTTTGTTTATCTTTTCAAAGAACCAACTTTTTGTTTCATTAATCTTCTGTGTAGTTCTTTTGTTATCAATTTCATTTAGTTCTGCTCTGATCTTGATTATTTATTTTCTACTACTAGGTTTAGGATTGGTTTGCTCTTCCTTTTCCAGTTCCTTGAGACGATTCATTAGATTGTTGATTTGTGATCTTTTTTGTCTTTTGGATGTGGGCATTTAAGGCTATGAGTTTTCCTCTCAGGACTGCTTTTTCTGTATCCCACTGATTTTGATAACTTGTGTCCCCAATATCATTTAGTTCAAAGAACCTTTTGTCTTCCATCTTTATCTCCTCCTCGAGCCAACAATCATTCAGTAGTATGTTGTTTAATTTCCATGACTTCGTGTAGAGATTAGTGTTTCTATTGGGATTGATTTCTAATTTTATTCCACTGTGGTCTGAGAAGATACAAGAGATACATGGTATAATTTCTTTTATTTATTTATTTATTTTTTTAATTCAGTATATTATGGGGGTACAAACATTTTGGTTACATGAAATGCACTTGCCTAGCTCAAGCCAAGGCTACAAGTGTGTCCGTCCCCCATACAGTGCACCCCATCTCCATTACCTGTGGGTTTACCCACCCCACCCCCTCTACCTCCTACACTCCCCAACCCCCCCACCTGACTGGCACCCAGTGAGTATTACTACCATGTGAGCACCGTAGTGTTGATCAATTAGTACCAGTTTGATGGCGAGTACATGTGGTGCATGTTTTTCCATCCTTGTGATACCTCACTTTGAAGGATGGGCTCAATCTCTATGCAGGATAATATAAGAGGTGCTAGATCACTATTGTTTTTTGTAGTTTAGTAGTATTCCATGATATACATATACCACATTTTATTAATCCACTCATGTATTGATGGGCACTTTGGTTGTTTCCAAATCTTTGCAATTGTAAATTGTGCTGCTATAAACGTTCGAGTGCAGATGTCTTTATTATAGAATATCTTTTTTTGCTTTGGATAGATGCCTAGTAGTGGGATTGCTGGATCAAATAGTATTTCTATTTTTAGCTCTTTGAGGTATCTCCAAATTACTTTCCACAGTAACTTACTTTTTTTTGTACTAATTTGCAGTCCCACCAGTAGTGTAAGAGTGTTCTAATCTCTCCACATCCATGCCAGCATTTGTTATTTTGGGACTTTTTGATAGAGGCCATTCTCACCTGGAGTTAGGTGATATCTCACTGTAGTTTTGGTTTGCATTTCCCTAATGATTAGAGATGTTGAGCACTTTTTTATATGTTTTCTGGACATTAGTCTGTCTTCTTTTGAAAAGTTTCTTTTCATATCCTTTGTCCATTTTTTTTTTTTTTATTTCAGCAAATTATGGGTGTACATACGTTTAGGTTACGTATGTTGCCCTTGGTTCCCCCCCCACCGAAGTCCGTGTTTCAAATATGTCCATCCTTCGGGTAGTGCGCATTGCACTCCTTGTGTATACAAATACCCGTCCCCTCCTCCCTCCTCCCCCCTTGGTACAGATGATTAGGTTA